TTTTTCCAAAAACATTGCATGTAGTTATCATAATTCATAATACCTTATATTATCATAGGTATACATATATCTGGTTTGAGGATAAATCGTTATCATTACGCGATTTCATAAAAATTTAAAACTCAAACGCTCAAAACATTTTTTCTATAATGACTCTTCAAATTTTCTCTATAGCTATTACAATTTCTGCACGATATAATTTATGCAGGCGGTGAGCGATATAATACTGTTTAAATAATCAATGATAATGCGTACAATCCACAGAATAATAATATAATAATATTTTTAATTTAATYAGCTACTATTTTTTCTGATCATTCGTCCTCATTACTCGCTCGCTCTGTCGTCGACCAAACGTTTTCACGAATCGATTAACAATAATATTAAGCACGTGTTTTTCAACACGAATACGTCCGTGTCGAAGACTTTGTTTTTTATATGTTCAAATAATATAAATAGGTATCGGTTTCAGGATTGTCACGTAGGCTAATGWTAAAATTAATAACCTTTTCGTGAATACCTATACGTTTGAGAACAATTATTATTAGTATGCTTGGACCCAGTGCTCAAAATGGACTGGAACAATGTAGATTTAAATTATGTAGACTTAGACGCAGCCACGAAAAGTTTTATCTATATATTACTATACATGAAGTTAGATATATGTTAATTATTACATATTGTACGACATAAATCATAGCCCGATTTACGAATATTTTTTTCCATGTAAAATTAATACAATCAAAACATTGTTTTTCTTTTACTGTTAATCWTGTACTGTGTAACATGCTTGAATCGTGTTTATGAAAAACTTGTTAACCCAACACCTAACGTAGTAACACTACATGGTATYCGATATGAATTTATCACGTTATCATAAAATCTGAATTGCGAACGTTAGATTTAAAAATAGTTGTTCTTGAGTACCTAATATCTTTTTACTACAGTCCGYTTTCATAAAATCATTGAACACCTCATGCGAATATTATATTATAATATTTGATATTTTACAACAGTCTGAAATAACCGATATATTGGAATATCATGACAATATTCCCGCAATTGGTAATATTTTTTCAAAGAAATAAAAAATATGAAAAGTTTTTAGTGTACCTACATATTTATCATTTAAATTCTCGCCTCGCAAAAAGTCAATAATACAGCTATTTTTTTTTTTTATACAATATATTCTTCTCGTTACACAATAGATATGCACTTTTATAATGCAACTATAAATAACATTAGGAAAATATTAAAACTATAGCTATGTATACTATTACTGTTGATATTAATTTTGATTGTTAAATTGAATAGTTATTTTATTTACTGCCGTTCACTGTAGGTATAGGTACTTATGCCGCACAACTGTATTTCACCTATTCGTATTGTATCGAGTGTAAAATAATTCATTTGTTGACATAACCTAACCAGGGTAGCCCGGGCCAACCAGCGCACTTATATAATTATGTATACCTATATAGTATATATTATATGGTAACACCTATTCCGACTCGTCGCGAGTTCTGAACTCCGGTGATACCCGATTGAGCACGGTCGTTATCGGCCGACYTTTTAGACGACCCGATTGAGCACGATAAAAAAAAAATATTGTATACAACGTTGTCAGATTTTCACTAGTACCTACGTATGTTGTGTAGTAGATATTACCAATAGGTANTCGCAGCTTCGTGCACTCGGCGCCGAGCGCTTCAGCCAATGCCCAATCTGGCGACGCTTCCGGACTGGGCCAACAGACCGGGGCGACGAGAACACGGACGACGAGGCCAGCGTCGGCTGTCTGCCGTACCCGTTGGCGTCAATTATAGCATACATGATACATAGTACATACCCACCAAAAACGCGACGGGAGTTTCAATGTTATAATAAAAATTTACTCGTTCACTTCATGTCATCGACGTCGATAGCATTTAATAACATAAACAATAGCATTATAATATTAATATTTATTTATTTATTCACCTATTTAATTATTATTAATTTTTTTTTTTAAATTTAATAAAATTTCGTTTCAGCGTTCGGTTTGACAATATTATATTATTTTATTGTTCTTAGAATCGCGTGTAGCACGATATATCCGATGCCGCAATATAATTCGATTACGTACATACAAAACAACAATAAAAATAACAATAAAAAAAAAAAAAATGTGTTATTCTTATTACATAATAAAAAGGCGATTCACGCTCACAATAATATTATTTTCGGCGATTTGCGCACCACAAGTATATTAAATAAACGGCGATTCCCTCGCGTAATAATAGTACTGATGTATACTATACGCGGTTCTGCGACTCCTAAGATCAACAATAAAAAATAATGATTAGTAAACAAACACCCGAAGGAACATGATGTAGTCACTTGCGGTTGAACTGTGCGCACAAACTTTTACGACTACTGGATTTTGTTTTTAGTCAGCGACCGTGTTAAATAATAAATATTTGCTAGTCGCGGGCGACCAATAATGCCATGCACAATATTATTAGGACATTATAGGTAATACAAAAATAAAGGCGATACGAAAATGTGATGTGGACGTATATGGGTCGGAGACTACCCTGGTAAATAATGTGTAGCGAATAGGAGCCCGGGAGGAAACCTGTAGGTGTGGACTTTTGTAGCGAATTTGATTTATACTATGGGGAATAAAAAGTTTGTTAAATCTTGAATATAAATAAAATATGATAGTTTAAAAAATATAAAATATATTATTAAGCGGTCATTCAAATATTAGGTATAGGTAATTGAATTAGTTAAAAAACTTAAACTAATATATACTTAAAACAAGTAAGTATTAATGTAGGGGAAAGGGTCGTAATTTATTGTGTGGATATTGTATGATTTGGTAATTTGGTTGTTCTTATTATTTTGTAAAAATAAAAGTTTATATCAAACAGGACATGTAGTTCTTATGGACACACAGAAAATATAATATTATTGTTATAATTATTACTATGGCAATRAATAGAAAACGTGATAATTCTGAAACACAACTCACAAGATTTGAAATGTTTGAATAAACGCATTATTTGAGCATAATAATATTGAGTAGTACCTAAAATTATTCCATCTGCTCATATAGTGATATGCCAATAGATTAAACCAACACGATTTATAATGTATAGTTACATGAACAATATAATATGATAATATTTTTTATCATGATAATAGATGTACATCATTGCAGTTATKCCATTAATTATTATATTATACGGCTTCTAGAAAGGTAAAATACGTGCCTAGGATTTGTTGACTTGGGAACCAGCTATTTTGATTTTTTTTATGAAAATTGATTTGTTTTCTTCCAAAAGGTTTTTATTACGCAGTGTCTTATTCAAAAGGGAMTTATTCTTTTAAAAAATTCGTTTTGTCCAAGATCATTTTATTTAAACTTAAAAATATACTGTACACATTTTAAAAAGAAAACTTTCAACAYCAGAAATTGAGTGATCGTTATTTTTACCTATTTTTACATAATATCTTATAATATTAATATTATCTAAATTCTAAAACTTTTAAAAATTTGAGAAACAAAAAAAAATTTGTCTTGAAAAGTTAAAGGAATGGAATAAATCCGTTTTGAATTGAAACCCCTCAACATAGTCATCATACCAGTGTATTTAGGCATTTAGACATGGGTTGAGRTTTAATACATAATAATATTATTAGGTTTAGGTATACATTTTTTTAKAAGTACAATAATATCATAGATTGTCATATTGATGTATAGTTTTTTAAATATAGTTTTTAGTAAACCAAACTTCAATTTTCTATAACCACTTAAATTAATAATTAACAATTTTACCAACCCAAAATTTATGGAATTAAATGTATAAAACATAAATAAACTACAAGTTACAACTAAGTATAATATTTTAATTATGTTTATCGTTTGAATTATAATTAACTTATAACTTTTAGTAATTTTATTTGAAATCTCTATAAGTTGTTCATAAACTGTCCATATTAATTGTACTTATCAGTAATCACTATCTTAACGCTAGCGTCGCTAGATAGGTGACAGTATAATTCAGCCAGGGGGCACAAACTAGCGGACCGCGAACACTTTTTATGGACCCCCTTATCCACAGAATAATTTAAGTTTTTAACACTTTTATATAAAAACTATAAGTGTGTCATATAACATTTATATTACGACAACAGAATTATTTAAGTAAGGTGTATTTCTATATTCATAAATGAAGAAGCCAATGTTGGGATGGCCCCAATTATAATTATTATAAATAAGATAATAATGATTTTTTTTAAATATTTTGTTTATTTATTTAAGTGGCTTCCATTGGTTACATATTACATTACTGTTAAAATAAGTAGATATACCTACGACATATTCATTATTTTACAAATATAATAATAATATGTAATATGGCGTGGATAACACCAGTTGGGACGGCTAGCATTAAAATATAATGCAATCGTGCCATCGATTTTGATTTWAAAAAATATATAGATCTTTAGCTTTTATTTACATTGAGTAAATTTATATTTACATAATATTATAACGTATTTAACAATATAAAATAGTCATGCTTAACAAAATATAATGACACTTACGTCGTTACCATTTTCATAAAAGTAATAAAATATAATGTTATGTACGATATAGATAAATATGAGCATCATACTATGTAAGACATAGGTATATAAACATCACACAAACTTATATTAAAAAAAAAATGTACATAGAAAAATTACAATGATTAATTATTACTTTTAGTCTTTTAGTCCTTCATCGGGCATCAGTAAACCTGGAAAAGTCAAGGTGGCATTTAAATACTTGGGTAGGTACGATGGATGGTTTTTAAACAAAATAATTTATGTCGGTGAATTGGGGGAGGGGGGTAAAACAAACCAATATATTTTTTATTTGTTTAATCCTTTTAGACTCACTGTATAAATAATATAATTATACTTACTAGCAATCGCAGCCGTTAAAAAACAAGTGACCGTACCGCCTACAAATGCTCTAAACACATTTTTGGTTATTGCTGATCGCTGCGTTGGGCATAAAGTCGTCAGCGTGGCAATCATTGAACCAATCGATCCAGGATTAGCGAAACTGCATAAAGCGAATGTGGCGATGATCTCCGACTTGCGCTGAAAACCAAACATGTGTTAAAACGAATCGACAAACGCACTAGTGTAACCACAGTGAGGCGAGTGCATTCCTTTTGAAATTACAGAAAAATTCAAAAAAGTTTTCAAAGTACAGTGCACACATATTATACATAACCATAATATGTAGATATTATAATATAATGATTGTAATTTGTTTTAAAGGGTACTTAATGCCTAAACTGAGAATTTTGTACTTTTTACCTCTTCAAGTACCAAGTAGAACAGATTCGCTACCAGAAATGCCTCTCAATGATCCAATGATGATTATTTTAGCAATTTTACTGTTCTAAAATATATGGTGACAGTAATACAAAAAAAATATATAACACTCATCATTGTTAAACTGAATAATTAGTATCAATACACAAATGGCCACACTCAGAATTCTAAAAAAAGTAAAAACCAGACGAGAATATGAACAAATAATATGCTTACATTTAAGTTTGAAAATAAGCCAACAAGTTATGTAATGAAAAATATTTTGAAAAAATTATACTATATAAAATATTAAATATAAATAAATATCATATACGTYAGCGCTATCTAGTGGCAAATATAGTTAGTCACGTAAAATATGTTTCGTAATATTCTGTTAAAACCGCTCGTGCTAGATAGTTCTGCCATGTCCAAACCCGTTTATCAAAACCGTCAAGGTCACCCAAGTTCGAAATTGCACGACTTAACATTAATTGGCGAACGACTACACCATCGAACAAAAGGCCAGACCATGTGATTAAAAAAAAATCCCTGTCTGCTTTGGAATCAAAAATCAAAAACTTACACTGTATAAAACGTAAAAAAAAGTATTTTGTTAATCTTGCAATTTATAAATGAGCTGACCGAGTCGATGGATTAGTCCTAGTTGGGTGCGAGTAGGTTTTAATTTCMAAATTCAAAATTTCAAAATTTCAAAATCAGAAAATTTGAKCACGTAATATTTTTTAAATATTAGGTATCTAATTATTGTAATAGCCAACAGGTAAGTAGGAAACTAATTATTACTCTTTGTTCTTTGACAATATAGTTGTCATTGTTGCAATTTAAGTTGTTCTCTTGATTAATAGACAATACTCGCTCGTATTAGGTATTTCTATTTGTTCAATTAATTTRAATAAATTGTTTAAAGTAATAAACATTTTCAAAAAAATAATTGCCAACTTTTATTCGTTATGTTTTGATTTTTTTTTTTACAATTATTAATTATTATCATACAGATTACGAGATAAAATCAGATTTGGGTATTATAAWATTTCATACAGAATAACAATGAAAAAATAATTTCTATTCATGACTATAAATTTCTCAATCTATTGATCTTAGAATTAGGGATAGAAATATAGAATTACTAATGTACAATGGCTACTACTTAAGTCATATTAAATAACATGGAGGCCAGCCTCCTGTGACTATATTATTGTCACACAATAGCACCTCTAGCTACAACTAAGCTTCCCACCCACCAAGGTTAACAGTCCGACTACGAAATCAAACAGTTATTTATAATTATAATAAATTTATAGTTATATTATAATTATAATTATAATTTCAGTTWTTTAATTTTTGATTCCAAAATGTTTACGGACATTTTAAAATCACTACCACGCCACAAAATACTCGAAATAGTTACAGTTATAATATTATATCTGTTGTAGACTGAAGTAGATAAAAATAGACAATGAGGTTTAAAATTCAATGACTCAGAAATGTATTTTTAGATYAAATGAAAACTGCATTATGACATTTTTATCGACAAAAATAATTATCRATTTTCATGATGCCTTTTTGTCACGGTTTAAGGATCAGRACTTTTAATTATTATAGTTTATGTAGTGACTTTGGTTAAAATTTCTACTAACGAAAACATTTTGAGATGTAGACATTRTTTTTTAAGTATAATTTAATTGATATTTAAAATTTCGTTTGGTGACGGCCAAGAGTCGCGGACAACGTCAAATAGTACATTTTTGAAAAGTTGTAACCATCATATTGTTGCTTCAATATAAGGTAAACAAATAAAACACGCATAGGTATTGGCACTTTGGTGATATTGTTTCTGGCTGGCGAAAGAAAGCGTTTTATGAAAACTAGGTGCAAATTTGTATGCCCACCAGTGGTTGGGTAGGGAAGGGTCCTTAATGACGTTCCTAGGTTGTTTATACAGTTTTAATGATGTCCATAATACACAATGAACAAAACTCACGTTAAGCTTGCCTTCTTTGATTAGATCGCCCATTTGTTTGTAAGCCACAAACTCGTTGACCGTCATTTTCAGGCCGATCAATTTACCAACYACTTCACACTCACCAGGATCAACGCCCAACAGCCATGTGACGGGTATCAACACCTTGCCCAGAACGTACTGAGGACGGAMAACCGAGCGATTAATACAAATCACAAATCGCTAAGGTAATAATATATAGGCAATAATAGTGGTAATTTTTTTCTTTTGCGAACCTCGAATGATATGTCTTCGAATCCAACCAAATGTCCCAACCATGATATTATCGCGTTGACGAATGCTACGAACGACACGAATGCCACTATGTTAGCGACAATCGCCCCAATTATTTTCAATCCAAACTGGGCTCCTTTACAAGCCGCGTCTATTACGTTACCCTCGTCGTTAGTCCTGAAACATTGTTAAACGTTATTAGCATGATTATAATAATAATAATAATAATAATAGAATGAATATAAAATTATAATGATATGGTATTATATACAGGTACACGGCTGCATTGGTGGATTGAATAGTCACTTACGTGAAAATGGGGCTCCTTTCCTAATACATATATGCACGCACAGGCACGCCCCCCCCCACATAAATTGTATAGTTAATTAATTTTTTTTATTTTCTACAAAAAATAAATACATCTTAGATTGCAAACTGCAACAATATCGTTTACTTTTTTTTTTTTTTTTTACGTTATATAATATTATAATTTATACTATTTTCTCTGTAAGGTTTATACTATAATATGTTTTTTGTATTATTTTACCAATTTTAGCATAAAATGGTAGTACAGCATAKATGTATAWATATTACGTGATGTAAATTGAACCGCATATTGTCGTATTGAACGCGTCATTGAATTTCTATGGGCTAAGTATTGTAACGTCTCAGCATACAGAAGAGTGATCCTTGTGATGAGATGGAAAGGAAATAGTGAAATTAATTAACAAATTGTTTAAATGTTAATTATTAAATCTCTATTACGTTAAGCTGGGTAAACACATTGTTGAATTTATTATAGACACTAGGAATAGTTCAACCGTCGAAGTCCGTCGGTACTCAAAAAATATCAGATTCGAATATTTTCYAAGTCCCAAACTATTCGATTGAAATATTCTAAGTCCAAATGACAATTTCAAAGGGGCGACTGGCGTGAAGGTGCTTGTACTCGGCTGTGGCAGTTCACGTCTGAATTTAGTCTATTTGAGTCTCTCCTATATAGGCCTAACTCTGCGTCTCCTCTCCTAATGATAARATAATCCTATCACCTGCATGGTAATCGCAAAACGAGTATGTATCGCGCTGTCGCCTTGTGGCTGTATCCTGTAACCTGTTACGCAGTCTGATTACTAGAATAACATTATGATATATCTGTATGTTTTTAAATGATCCTATCTAATATTTTATACATTATTATTCACGGAATTATAASACACGGTTTACTAGTTTTTATTATGTCCCGTTATTTTCCAATTATTCCTATTAGTCTTTTACGTTTATTCTCTGAGTTGCTAAAACTGATTTCTCTTAGGTATTTCACCCGCGATCCGCGTAGGTCATCCGAGTGTTATCCGAGGTTATTTGCTAATGTAATCGCACAATCTGGTTTTAAACATGTATGTATATATATGTATCTAAACGAGACGTCATCACATAACAATTTAACAAACTCAATAATTATTGGGTGTACTATGATACCTCTAAATACCGGAAATTTTAGTAACTGAAAATTTGTCCAATATTCAGAGGGTTCGATTAGTATAAAGTTGATTGATTGTTCCCAAAAAATAGTTTTCAATTTAGAGAGTTTCCGCTGTTTAGAGGTGTCTGTTTCACTGTATTTCGAATTGGAATAATTATTACTCTATTTGACAGACCGTGGGTCAACGTGCATTGTCAGCCATCGTTTATAATTTATAATACTAGAATATAATAGAATTATTAACATGTTTGTTTGAGAATGAGTGTCTTTACTTATGGTCGGATTTTAATTTTGTTTTGTCTTTCGGATAAAATATACGATTCACCCGCATCGCTATACGTCAAACGTACACTTACTTTTTAGTACATATCTGATCCACGCTGTTCAATGATTTTTCAGTTTCTGGAAAGATCAGTTTGGAGAAACTTAACGCAGTTGGAGCTGACATGACTGATGCAGTAATTAGGTAGGCCGAATCAATGCCGAACGATGTGTACGCAGCGAATACGGTTCCTAATTATCAAAGCACACAAGTGATATTAATAATATATTATTACTTTATTGGCAAACATACKTAACTCGTTTTTTATTGTCCCGCCACTGACACGTATTAAATAGATTGTCTAATTAAAGTCCCAATACCAAACTTATTTAAGATATTGTTATAAAATGATTTTTATATTTTTACATTTCCTACAATATGTTTTAGTACCGACATTCKATTTGTACAACAAAAACATATCTAATTGCTATATACTTTTATGAGAATGAATTGTAAAAGTATATCATAAAAGATACCATAAATAGGTAGGTTGTAGCGTTGTAGGTACAACCGATTGTCACCCGGTAGCGGGATGATAAATTGTATGTAGGTACTTGGCAGTGGCGGTTCGATAACAATCAAGTACCAAACACACTTTGATAAGACGTTAAATGTCGAGTAAACATTAAAAAGATAGATTTAACAAAGCCGTTGCTCGCCTGATCAACATATTTTGACGTTATGATTTTTAYTTACACCAATATTTATTATTATGTTCATATTAATCATACCTGCTACTGTTGAAAATCCTCCCATCATAACGGCATGGATTTCTGATTCTGTTAGATCAGCTAAATACGGTTTAATGATAATAGGTGCTTCCGACTATATGACAAAAGAAAGGAAAAGAAAAGAAATTTTTAGTTTATTTTGTTCTATTAAAATATTGCTATACCAGGTACGTTTACTAATATTGTCATCGAATGTGGTGTGTATACTAGTCAAATTATTTAATTTATAATGTTATTAACACTTAAGTGAAACAATGYCGATTTCATATTTGCTTTCGTATACAATTGTCAATTAGTTATGTGTTTAATATACTAATTACAATATATGATGTTCATTTATTATTTGAAACGATAGGATWATTATTTATTCGCAATATTYTCATATGTTTTTTGTTGATAAATTTCATTGATATTTAATTTAATACAAAATAAAGTGCATTATAATTTATAATGTGCAATTTTAAACAGCATGTGGAAAGACATTTTCATCATCATATTTCAGCGTCCGTGTTTCAATTACCAAACTTAGTTTACGTCACTCAAATTTTAAATTTCTTAAACATATTTTGGCCAAACATTGTAGGAATAAAAGATGACTCGCCCATTTTTCCCAACTAAATTTGAAAGACACTGTATATTAATTGGCACGTGAACACCGAAAGGTGTGGTGTTATTTACATTATTCGTAAAATTATTTGTATATTAGTATATATAGATATAACAAATAACAATTTAATAGACAAATAAGTAAATATCAAAGAAAATTGAATGCACGTAATCCATTTTACTGRCAGACGAAATAACCTAACGAGTTATAGTTATAATTAATAAAGGACGTCACGTAAATAACTACATKTAATTATTTGCGTTGTACCTATAGCTGTAAAAAATTTTAATATAATATGTAAATAATGTTTTCTTACGATAACAAAACAAATAAGACAATAGTTCATATTTTAGTTTATATATTCTTTAAGTATTTATTTAGCTATTAATCCATTGATATTGATTTCATTGAAATGTTATATGATATAACWTATATCTATTAATAATTTTTCATTTTAAAAACACAACACGATGTTAAAATCAAAATGATCATTAGGTACTATYATTTTTTATCCAGACCATATAAAATATTATACTAAAAATATAAAATAAAATTAGATTGGATGATACGAATTTAAATTTAGTTAGATAAARAATGTATTATTTTATTCATCAATTGTACACTTTAAATCATAATACAATAAAATAAAAATATTTTTTTATGAAACCTTTTAATTTATTAATTAAAGATGCCTACACGGCTACACATTATTTTATATTTTACAYCTTTAGTATAAACAATAATGACACAACCTATATTATTTTGAGCCAATAACCTACCCTCACATTAAATTTATTATATATTATTCGTTTAAATACTATAATATACGTTTTACGTTTTAAAGTTTATTTATTAGACTTAAGTAATATAAAATAAAGTTAAGATTCATGTGTATTATTTATATTAAGCACATTATTTTTTTCAAAACAATAATATAGCTATGTTATATAAATTTTAAATAAGATGTAAATATTCTTCACTGATTTTTAAACAGATAAATACTTKATATTATTATACGACTAATACTTTTATCTGAACTAGCTTGATAAAATTGACAGAATGTTCTTCAGAATGTACTTTTTTTTATATAAAACGAAATATTGATTTCATTTACTTTCTTTAGATTTTTRTAAAATATTCTAATTTTTAAAACTTATAGGCTTTAATATTATAATTATATATAAACAATATTATAATTTATACTCATTAGTCATTACAATATATAATATATATATATATAGTTTCTCGTATCGGACAAATTCACTTACCATGCCTAAGAATACGCTGGCACAGGTATTGACTGATTCGGCTGCTGTCGTTCCCAGTAATTGTTGCAAGCACCATCCTAACTTTATGACTATTGTCTGTATTATCCCATAATAAAATAGTATTTCAATAACAAAACACATAAAGAATAACACCGACARCACCTGCAATAAATTAAAAATAATGTCACAATATATAAAATCGTTAATTTGCTATATTCGTGTTTAATACCTATATCATGATATTATTACTCGTTGACAATGATAGGTTTATTATTTTTTTTTTTTAAACAAATACTAATGGTTTTCATGTGGAAATAATAGTTCAAAAATCAGGAACAAAAATGGATCATTAGGTTATTACCACCATTATGACCATTAGGTGGACATTATTTAAAAAAAATTAGTTGAGATTTCTATTAAAATATAATCTCTATATTTAATACAGTTGTATTGAAACATGAAAATTTGTCATAGTCCGTTCAAACGAATTAATAGAATCTAAAACTTAAAGTTATAATTCATAGTGTAATTATAAATTACCAAAATAATCGTGAGTTCATAATATTTCGAACCTATTCACGGTGCGTTGACTAATCAACGATACAGATAAATGAGATTAGATAGAGTGTTTCAATAAGTTAATTAAACACACAATATTGGAAAGTTGATACCTATACACTTACCAAAAACTTTTGATTCATATTTTATTAATTTAATATAATTCTGGGTAAAAAAATGTAGTTAATATTTGAAATTTTACTTCCACAAAGCTATAACTGAAAGTCGATGCAAATTATACTCTAAGGTTCAAGGACAAAAAAAAAATATTATCATAAAGAAACTAGTTTAGAAACGAAAACTGAGTTACTATGAATATAAGCACAATTTTATTGAATTTCACCAAAATGTTTTTGTGTTGTATTATTGAAAATATAGTAGTAAGAGTATTTATATTTTATTATGATTAATTCAATGGTAGGTATATTATAGTCCTAACCTATACCGTATACATACAATAAGATTTGATTTTTTAAAGTCAAATTGAAAATATATGCTTTTGAAATACTTTGAAAATGTATACTTATCTATTATAATTGATAGTAAACATTAGTATTAGGGATTACATAATGATGAGATTTTGTTATCGTGACGAAACTTAAAAATGTTTAACAGATTAAGGAATAGATAAACGAAAAGGATTAATATTAAAATATTGTAATTTTAAATTCATGTTTTTGTATAGTCAAAATATTATGCGAAATCAAAAATGAATTTAAAATATTATAGTATAATCTACATAATAATAGATTAATAAAATACACATTGAGAAAACAACGAGATGCAACAATGTTATGACCTCAATGGGCTTCGATCACAAAATAAATAAATAATATCAATTAATATATTATTATAATTAATATTGTTAATGGTGGCTTTTTGACATGACCGGTCGAAAATAATATATTATTATAAAATATATAAATCAAATGGCTTAGTGGCAACACGTGTTCTAGATCAACAATACTGACCTTGAACGCGAATACACCATAATTGTCGATTAGCTCATTGCCGTACGTCACCTTAGCTCCGACGTACGCAAAGGAGAAAAACTTTTCGGCCAACTCTCCGACTGCTTGGACAATAGATCGGCCGACCGGCCATCGGATGGTCAACATACCTATGGTTATCTGAGTGGCTAGACCGGACGCAACCGTGGTCCAATTCACGTGACCACGGTGTTTGGAAAATATGAATCCGACGAGAACGAACACACCAAGTCCGGCTAACGGCAACAGTCTGTGYCGGTTGTTTTTTGTGTCAAAGAAAATGAATAAAACGAATGACCCTAAGAAAGTACACAGCGCTCCGATTCTATATGGGAAAAAAATATGATATAAAACACATTAATTATATAATATTATTCGTAATAACTATAATAAGTGATATAATTATACAGCCAATACTACTAATAAAAATGGGGAACAACAAAGCGTTCGAAGAAATGGATGCTCATCAACGACTACCCTGCAGTAGTTACCCCTGAYGGAGTGGGTATTTAAAAAATTAACATTTTGGACATAAAACTATGCTAATTATATAAAGGTTAGGAAATTAAATTCAGYATACCTATCTAATATGTTATTAATTATGAATCTATAAATATATGTACAGTTTGTATTTTTATGTAATCCGTTAGTCGGTACTGACTATCGAAATATAATTTATTCGTGTTCAAAACACACACGACGTACATTGCAATTAAAAATACCAAAACCGTAAAATAAAAAACAGATTATTCAGATGTTGCAATGCACTTGTTTTGCTTAATTCGCTTGCCAATTTCTTTGCTTAGCTCACTTCAATAAACAGGAATTCAAAATGTACAATGTACAATACATTATTATTATGGCGCCTATCCGTTCGAGACTATTTAACAAACAATATTRCATGTAAGTTATACAATATTTTATTTAACTAATGGCCTTTGCTGCCGAGTTATACTTAAAATCAATAAAAAAATAATAATAAAATATTTTAACTATCTTCCGAATGTTGTACGTCAGTGATAC